GGTGGGAGAAGGAGCCTCCGACGCGACCACAGTGGCGACCGCACGGTCGGATTCCGTCGGCGGTGCTCCGTCGCTGGTAGGTGAGGGAGTGTTGTTTTGGTTAGAGGCCATAGGATCAAAAAGGCTTTTGTATTATCTTCACGTAAAACTGATACCAGATTGAGGAATTAATTTTATGATTTATTGAATTGCAGAGAGCTACGTACTACACCCTTATATAACAGAGGAAAGCCATAATAGTAGGAAGCAGGCTAAAGAATAGGAAATCTATACCTAAGACTCTAACTATCTAATAATAATTACACAAAAGAAGGAAAGAAAAATTATGAGAATAATTACCTTTAATAAATTAGGAAATTATATTAAAAATAATCTATATATATTAAGGTAAGTATATTTATTTTGTGCCCAATAATATTATACATTAAGTATAAAAATATATATGTATATAAATTACCATAATAATTACCCCGAAAAAGGTGACAACACATAATTATTAGGCAATAATATTAATAATTAATTATTAAGGCAAGTATAATTGATTTTGTACTAATAATATTATACATCTATACACTTTTAATTCTATATTGATATATAAGCATAATCTGTGTATATACTTTAAGAAAATATTCATTATTAAAAAGGGAATATAATTTAAAAAGTAAATTATTAATTAGATTACCTAATATAATTGTCCTACTAATTAATTCCATGCTACTATGTATAATAATTCATATATTTATTCATTATGAGTAATATTCATTTCCTTTTTCACTCATAGAAAGAGTTAATATTCATTTCCATTTCTTTTTCCTTCATAATTTTTTCCTAATATTTCATGTGGTGATTACTAATTTTTTTGTAGGGAAAGCGGTGTTATATTTTCAATAAATTTTTAATATTAAATCTTTTTTTCATTTGGCCTGATTCCTGTGTCTATTAGTAACAAAATATTAATAATAGATTCTCGTGTGTAAAATTCATTTTTTTCCTGTTCTTATTCATTTCCTTTTTCCTTCATAAATAATTAATATAATTATAATAATATAATTACTGATTATATTTTAAGTGAAATATGGATATATTCATTTCAATTCCTTTTTCATTCATAGAAAGAGTTAATATTTGTTTCCATTTCTTTTTCCTTCATAATTTTTTCCTAATATTTCATTTGGTGGTTACTATTTTTTTTTTTGTAGGGAAAATTGTGTTATATTTCCAATAAATTTTTAATATTAAATCCTTTGTTCATTTGGCATGATTCCCATGCCTATTAGTAACATAATATTAATAATAGATTTTCGTGTGTAAAATTCATTCCTATTTCTGGTCATAAAAACAATATGGTATGTTTGTAATATTCATTTCCAATCACAAAAACAATTTGGTACGTGTTTAATAATCATTTCCTTTTTCCTTTACCCTAATTTTCTGTGTAGCAAATTAGTTATTTACTTATTAAGCACATATTTTTTTTTTTAATTCGAGTCCATTTTTAATATTAATTTCTTTTTTCTTTTGGTCTGATTTCTGTGCCAAAAGCTGTGTTATATTTTTAGTGAAATATAAACATATTCATTCGTTTTTCTTCATATTTCATTTCCTTTTGAATATATATATTTCTTTTTTTTTTTTCCTTCATAAAAAGAAGTAATATTGATTTTTATTCATTTTTCTAATAATTATCGAATAATTGGCCTGATTTTCATGTCGATTAGTAACATGATATTAATAACAGATTTCTTTGTGAAATATTCATTTCCTTTCTTGTTCATAAAAATAATTAATATTCATTTCCACATAATTAAAAAGTAATATAATTATAAAAAATATAATTACTGATTATATTTCCAGTAAACTATTAATATATTCATTTCATTTTTCCTTCATAAATAATTAATATAATTATAATAATTATAATCATATAATTGCTGATTATATTTTAAGTGAAATATGAATATATTCATTTCCTTTTTTACTCATAGAAAGAGTTAATATTCATTTCCATTTCTTTTTCCCTTATAATTTTTTCTAATATTTCACATGGTAGTTACTAATTTTTTCGTAGGGAAAGCGGTGTTATATTTTCAATAAATTTTTAATATTAAATCTTTTTTTTCATTTGGCCTAATTCCCGTGTCTATTAGTATAACAGAATATTAATAATAGATTTTCGTGTCTAAATTTTATTTTTTTCCTTTCATATTCATTTCCTTTTTTCTTCATAAATAATTAATATAATTATAATAATATAATATAATTACTGATTATATTTTAAGTGAAATATGGATATATTCATTTCCTTTTTTCATTCATGGAAAGAGTTAATATTTATTTCCATTTCTTTTTTCTTCATAATTTTTTCCTAATATTTCATTTGGTGGTTACTAATTTTTTCGTTGGGAAAACTGTGTTATATTTCCAATAAATTTTTAATATTAATTCCTTTTTTCATTTGGCATGATTCCCATGCCTATTAGTATAACAGAATATTAATAATAGATTCTCGTGTGTAAAATTCATTCTTATTTCTGGTCATAAAAACAATCTGGTACGTTTGTAATATTCATTTTCAATCATAAAAACAATCTGGTACAATGTTTAATAATCATTTTCTTTTTCCTTTACCCTAATTTTCTGTCTAGCAAATTAGTTATTTACTTATTAAACACATTTTTTTAATTCGTGTCCATTTATAATATTAATTTCATTTTTCTTTTAGTCTGATTTCTGTGTCAATTAGTAACAGAATATTAATAACAAATTTCATTATTACAATTAATTCTTTAGTTTTTTTTTTTTGAATTAGAATAATGATAATTGTAATTATATTAATTAATTAATTGTATGGATTTTTTTTGCAATGAGATGCAGATCCACCAATGTACCCAGATGTGTTCTCCTGCCTCAACGACTAATGAATCATACACATGTTGCATCTTAAATGCACGTAGATATAGACATTCAATTTTTTTATTTTATTTTATTTTATTTTTTTTGAGAATGCTAATCGATGCACTGATAGTTGAAGGTAGATAACAATACTTATAATATGAAATTAAACCTTTTGGAAGAATAATATGAAATTAAACTCAAATCCAAGTTACTTTACATCTATTAATCCCTAATTGAGATTATATAAAAACAAAACATAGATTTAAATGATTTCATCTAAGAGCTTGTAAATATGGTGACTGCTTTAGTGTTTTTAGAGAGACAACGTGCTTTACCAATTCGCCAGGAAGAACCAATATCATGCCAGCCTGGATCTCGCGGGTAGTGGGTCAAGCGAGTCACCTCTCGGGCGAGGTTCAAGAAGATATCGTTGATGAAGCTATTCATGATGTCCAAACTGCAAAACATATTGGAGTATGTGAGAATATAGTTAGAAAAATGTAGAAAATTCATACAAAAAGAAAGCAGAAAGATGAGTCTGAGATTCTTTGATTGAAGAAGCTCTTGTATTTATAGGTAGAAAATACTAATTCAAAATGAAAGTATAATAATTTATTTATTTAAGGTAATAACATCATTATTATTATTATTATTATTATTATTATTATTATTATTATTATTATTATTATTTATTTATTTATTTATTTATTTAATTTTCATTTGACATTTACTTACCAAATAAGTTTTACTACAAAAGTTTTGGGGGGAAAATTTGTTAGGAGGATTTTACTTTTATATATATATATATATATATATATATATATATATATATATATATATATATATATATAGATTAGGGGGTTTTGAGAAAAGATTAATGAAATTCCTACCCCATATCCGCCCCACGAGGATTTTGCGGGTGCGGGTAATATCTAACCCGCAATTCTAATTATTAATATTAGACTCAAATCTAATAAAAATTTTATACTACAATTCTAATTATCACATGGATTTTTTTTATAAGTTTGAACATAACTCTAAAGTTTTATAGAGTCAATGAAGTTAATCCTTAATTATATTGGAACTAAAATTGTGTTGGTAGACTGGTAGTATAAATTGCATTAAGTGTTTACTCATTATGTTATTTGTATTGTTCCTATTCAATTTTCATTAACAAAAAACTAAGAAGTTTAATTCATTATGCATTTTTAATTATAAAATATACATAAACTTATATAATAAATGAATACTAATAAAAATATATATAATTGCGGGTGCGGGTGCGGGGCGGGGAGGCCCCCATACCCGCGCGGGTATACAAAATTCCCCCTATATCCCCGCACCCATTACTCAAATTGTGCGGGTATTTTAAAACCCCTAGATGCGGGAAACCCATTGGGTGCGGGTGAAATTGTCATCCCTAATTGAGAAGGCAAAATACTCTTATTTAAGAAGCCTTAATTTAATAACTTTTTATTTATTTATTTATTTATTTATTAGGGGGTTTTGGGTAAAGATTAATCTAAATCTTTACCCAAAATGTATGTGTTGTTTTAGTTTTTAGTAATTTGGAGCAAATTATTGAGTTATCAAATAATATTTTTGGTGTTTTGATTAAAGACAAAACGTTAAAATGTCGGATTTATTAAAATTTTGATGAATTTGTCAATAATCAAACAAGGTCATTTTCTAATAATTATTATGACAATTAACAAATTAATTGTACAGATATTAAATTTCGTTTGAAAATTGGTCCAACAAATTAATTGCACATTTTTATTTTTTTTTTTCTATATCCACATTTGGTCCTAATATTATTTTAAAATTAAATAGCTCAATGCCAAAGCATCGAATGCTAGCTGATCCTTCGTTCCTTTTTAAAGTTGGAACTGGTTCCATTCGGCTTCCGTAACCCTTCATTTTCTTAAAATATCACATTTATTTAATTTAAACCCTTCGCAACTCACAAGATGATTAGCATTTAGCAGTCTGGTTCCCTTCGGCTTCCATAAGACCATAACCCTTCGTATTCTTACAATCAAATTAAATAATTAACAATAGTAATATTATATTTCTTTAATTTAAACCCTTCACATCTCACAAGATGATTAGCATTTAGCATTCTGGTTCCCTTTCGCCTTACTTAACCCGCGAAGGCCCAAACCAAACATCAGAGCGCAGAGGCTACAGAGGTAAGAGGTGAGGGTTTCTTTCACTCTTTTCTTCATAATCTCCTTTTATTTACGAAATCTTGAAGATTCTCCGAACGATTTTGGGTTTTGATTTCGACTGACGCCTCATTGTTGTTTCAGTTTAATGGCTCAACGTCGGCGAATCGAAACCCTACCGGATGCAAGTAGGGATCTAATAAGTCATCTGCCGGTAGAGATAAATGTCAGAATTTTGGAGTGTTTGCCCATTCGAGACGCTGCCAGAACTGCTCTGCTCTCAACCCACTGGAATGATGTTTGGTTGCAGCATGGGCAGCTTGCGTTTGATTTGAAATTCTTCTTCCGTTTAGGAGAACGCAAAGGTCGTAGCCGCTTACCTTACGTTAAAATAATAACATACATTCTCTTGCAGCGTGTTCGACCCGTGAAGAAATTTAGTCTAGCCATTGGTTCTCTAAGATTACATGATCCTAAGCTGGAGCAGTCCGATTTAGATCAGTGGTTTCTTTTTCTATCAAGAAATGGCGTTGAGGAACTTTCCGTCTCTCATGGGGAAGGTCGATATAAGCTGCCTCTTTGTATAGTCTCGTGCCCGACGATCAAGCAGCTAACACTCTGCTCTATGTCTTTTGATTTCCCACTAAATGCTCCTTGTATTTTTCCCTGTGTCACTTCATTAGCTTTCTCGAGTGTTTATTTTAATCATAATGTTAATGGAATTGTGTATAGTATTCCTAATCTTGAGAAGCTTGATTTAATTGATTGTGAAGGGATCAATAATTTTAAGATTAGTGCTCCAAAACTTGAAAGCTTGTCTATTTGTGGTACTACTATGTGTTCGGTTGAATGGAGATGGTTTGCACTTCATTTGAAAGCAATTAAGGTTCTTTGCATTGATGGCGACTTCTTGTATGTGAGAATCTATCTTCCTTCATATATGGACTATAGTATTGACAGATTAAATATTCTTTTCCTTCTGGTTTGTTAGAGTTCTTTTCAAGTCTCATATAATCTTTTGTTTTTGTTAAAGTATTTGAAAGATGTTGAAGTAGCCTCCTTCCCAACTGCAATAAATCTGCAAGTAATCAAACTGTATTCTTTAGAGTTTGCCATTGAAAAGGAGCTCGAGGTTGTTTTGCAGTTGCTTCAAAAATCTCCCAACCTATGTGAACTGGAAATCACAGGAGTAAGTTTTGTGAGACAGAATCCTTTATAGAGTATATATTTGCCCGTCGTGATTTTTTGTTTTCTTTGTTTCCTCATTGTTGTACATGTTTTTTATTTTATTTTATTTGTTGTTGAGTTGTAGGCGTATTCAGATGATGACATAGAAGATGAGCAGATGGAGGATGATGACATAGAAGCTGAACGCATAGAAGCTGCACGCCTAAAAGCTGCACGCATAGAAGCTGCTTCAAGACTTTTGAAGGATCCAGAGAGTTGCATTATTAGTCAGGATCTAAAAATGCTTAAAACAATCGAGATTGGGATGTTTTGTGGATCCACAATTGAAATGCTTTTTGTGAAAATGCTGCTCTCAAAATCCCCTATACTAGAGAAAGTAGTTATTACGGAAGCTTTTTATATAAAAGATGGCTGCATGGTGATCAAGTTCCTAAGGGAGTTGCTGTGCTTCCCTCGGGCATCTCCAAAAGCACAAATTGTCATCAAGGGCAAAGACTATGCTTAAGGACTGGTTGGTTTAACCATATGATGAAGCTCAATGGGTTCAGTTTGGATGTAAAGGATGCACTTTGTTTCCTATGTTGTTCAGTAAGTATAATGTTAGTAAAGTATTTTGAATTCGGAAGCAGTAGACTCCAAGAATGTGATTCTTTTGCTAATGTTATTCTACTAGATTTTATATATGCTGCTGTTTCTTATGACTTCATTTAGAACAACCCAGGCATGTTTCAGACTCAGTTGTTACTATGTTTAAAAAATTCTGAAACAACTTTAAAAATGTCACCACTCACCAGCAGTACTGAATTTTTATCTACTTGCAATAGTGAATTTATGTATTTATAGTAATAAATTAATATACTTACCAGAGAATGTATTTAGAGGTTACATGGTGTTTGGTTGGGATGAAGGAATTAGGGAGAAAAAGAATTGCAATTTTGTGGAAATAACATAGGAATTCAAATTACATTGTTTAATAGGAAGTAATAGAATTATTGAGAATGAGAATGAAAGAAGTGATATAAAGACTAAAATCTCTTTGTATAATAATAATAATAATAATAATAATAATAAAAAATAAGGGTATTGTTGTCATTTCTTCACTTTTTTCCTTTCTTACAAGTATTGAATTATAATTCCACCTTGGAATTCAACAAAAGGAGGAATTGCAATTCTGTGAAATTGCAATTTTCTCCACCAAATATTGTAATTTGCATTGTCATTGACTTAAGTAGGAAAAGAATTCCAATTACATCCAACCAAACACCTCATTATTGTATATTAACAAGTGAATATAGCTTAGTATAAATATAGTACAAGGAAGAGAAAGTAGCAAGAAGTTACAACTAATCCTAAACTACAATAATACAAGGAGCAAAGATAGCTAGAAGATGTCAGCTAACACATGTAGGGCAAATTATTGTGTGGACTATGGTCCACAAAGTGTTGCGTGGATCATAACAAAAAGTACATTTTTAATATACTAGAAGTACATTATTCGTGTATTGAATGCACATTATACAACATAAAGTACTTTCAGTATTTAAATAATGCACTTTTCCTTAATATAATGTACATTTTTAATATACTAAAAGTACATTATTTGTGTATTGAATGTATATTATTATTATTTTTTTAAAGGAAACAAACTTCAATAAATTCAAGAGATTAAATGTCCAATACAAGAAGGAATGATAGAAAACCAACTAAGGTGACCAGTCTGAGAACTAGCAGCTCTAGCCGATGCATGAGCGAGCTTATTCACTGATCGATTAACATAGTGAAAAGACATTGATTCAAAGTGTCGTTTAAGAGACCGGCGATAATTTAAGACGCAACTTGCATAAGAATAATCCGGTAAAGCATTATTAAGGAACTTGCATACCATCTGATAGTCTGATATTAACACAATATTATGCCGACCTTGTTCAAGAGTCCAAGAAAAAACCATATTAACTACAATAGCCTCCGCAAGGTGAGAATCATTGAGGCATCGGACTAGGCCACTCCTAGGCTCCTAGCAGCCATGAACCCGCCATTGCTATTTTGGATTACAATGCCATAGAAACCATCTATGCCATCAAGCGGTATAGATGCATCAACCTCCACCACCATCGTGAACATTCAAATTCAAATTCAAATTCGAAGTGATAGCCATTTCTTGGGAACTCCCAGAAGCTCCATGCATAGATAACGTTTGCCACTCATTACAATAATAATTACATACTCAACACTTACCGTAACAAATTTATTTTAAAAAAATTGAATAAAAAATATCAATTAATTTGGGTCATCATCAAAATATTTAATAAATAAAAAATAGATCTAAATTTTACTTTTTTTGAAAAATGTCGTAGGCAATATATTAAACCAAGAATGGAACGATAGAGTCAAGAGGGATCAAGTCCCAATACATAGATTGATCCTGATCATAAGCTAAACTAGAAAGAGTATGAGCATGCAAATTCAGTGTTCTAGTGATAAAACTGAACGAGCAATAATTGAAACTGGACATAGCCACCCTACATTGGTCCACCATAGCCACCCTACATTGGTCCACCACAACCCCAACGTAGGATAAATTCGGCGTAGTTACCGAGTATATCGCATTCTTTAGCACAAGACAATCTGTCAGAAGATCCACCTCGACCTCGTTCCGATCCTTAAGCCAGGACAAGACCTCTTTGCAGGTCAGCGCCTCCGCCATGAGAGGTGAAAAGCATCTCGGAAGCTTCCCGTTGGCCGCAGCCTTGAACATACCATCCTGGTCGAGCAGCACTGCCCCGTACGTAGCATGTCCGGTGGTCGGATTGTAGCCTGCATCCACATGACATTTCGGCAGATGGGATGCTGTGACCGGTGTAGCCGCTGCCGGCGTTGTCCGGGCTGTCCGAGCATGGATAGCCGTGTAGTCCCTTTCCGCCGAGAGAGCACGCTACCAGACCTGAGCAGGCCTCCTCATCGCCCCCTCCCACACGGCTTCGTTCCTGGCCATCCACAAGAAATAGAGCAGCACTGCAAGATGCCAGCATTGGTCGCCTGTGAGTATATCCATAGCAGCAATAAGCCAATTTGCAAAGGAATTAGAAACAATATTCATAATGGGTAGTCCCGAAAGATTCCACACAACCCTAAAATAATCACATAAAATTAATGAGTGCATAACATTTTCATGTGTGAGGCCACACATTGTGCATGTCTGGTCCACATCAACTCTCTTTATAATCAAATTGGTCCCTAAATTTTACTTAAAATGTAACATTTATCACGTTTTAGATGCAAAACATATTACGCAAAAACATCTCTTTAGATTAAAATTATATTGTGAATGTTGCTGAATATATGATTTAAAAAATATATTTGATCAGATTAAATTTTAATGGATAAACGTATTATGTATAGGTTAAAGGCTAGGCAAAACAAAATGTTTTATATTGATCCTTAAAACAAAAATTGGACATCAATTAAATTTAAGGAGATAGAATTTTATATTTCTGAAATATCAGTTACTTGGTATTCTAACCCATGAAATTTAACAAATTCATTCACTTTTTTAAAAGGAGAAAACAATTGCCAAAGGACCTTGGTCTAGTGACACCAAGTTGCTCTCACATATGAGAGGTTGTAAGTTTGAGACTTAGTGAAGACGGTATTGACTCTCTGTGCTTTAGTAAGTTAAAAAAGCAGTTATGAACAGATACTGCATTGTAATAGAGTCAGTAGTCCTAAAAAAAAAACAATTCATTAGTGCAAATAAATATTAAATGAGAATAGAAAAAATTTTAATATTCATATTATCCATTAAATGTTTTTTTCTCTCTCTCTCTAAAAATGAATGAAATGTTTGAATTTAATATATAACTACAAATAACTAAAAAAAATAATATGATTTTCCTTACACTTGGTTTAGAATTTTTACTGATAACGATGAGAATATAATTGTGTTGTATTCAATCGTAATGTCTGAGAGTACAGAGAGCGAATATATAGGTACTAGATAGAATCCTAGTCTAATACGAATAATATAGTCCTAGTCTAATATGGATAACATAGTCCTAATACTCCCCATCAAGCACAAGGTTGGCTAGCCAAAACATTGAGCTTGTCACGAAGAGAATTAAAACGGATAGACGAAAGAGACTTGGTGAAGATATCTGCTAGTTGATCCTTGGTTGAAATAAAGTGCACCTCCAACTCCTTTTTGGCTACTTTATCGCGAACAAAATGATAATCAATCTCAATGTGCTTCGTGCGGGCATGAAACACTAGATTGACACATAAGTAGCTCCCAAATTATCACACTATAGTCAAGGAGGAGACGCAGGTGGGATGCCGATCTCGTGTAGCAGAGAAACAAGCCATGTAACCTCAGCAGATACATCAGCCAGACCCTTGTATCCTGCTTCAGTTGAAGAACATGCCACTGTTTGTTGCTTCCGATAGACCCAAGATATATGATTACTCCCCAAGAACACAGCAAAACCACTAGTAGACTTGCGATCGGATCGCCAGCCCAGTCTGAGTCAGAATAGGCGTGAATATCCATCGATGCAAACCGAGAAATAAGCAGACCAAAATGCAGGGTGCCTTTGATATATCGCAGGACTCTTTTTAGAGAGGCCCAGTCCGTAGTAGTGGGAGCATGCATATGTTGACACAAGAGATTAATAGCATAAGACAGATTAGGACGAGATACCGTAAGATATTGGAGAGCACCAACAAGACTTCTGTATTGTGTTGGATCGGCATAGGGAGTGGCAACATCGTCGGCGGTATTCGCGGCAGAGACAGGCGTGACCACTGGCTTACAGTCCACCGTGCCAGCACGTTTGAGAATATCCTTCATGTACCGTTGTTGAGATAAAAGCATACCACCAGATAACGGGACAGTTTCAATTCCTAAAAAGAAAGAAGGCACACCCATATCACGAACTTTAAACTCTGTCAATTTATCAATAAGAGCAGTAACACGGTCTGAGTCAGACACCATAATCAAAATGTCATCAACATACACCAAGAAATAAAGATGAACATTATCACGAGAATAGATAAAAAGAGACACATCAGTCTTTGAGAGCGCAAAACCCACAGAGACTAGAAAATCATGTAACCTTGTGAACCATGCACACGAAGCCTGTTTGAGACCGTAGAGAGATTTTTTAAGCAAACACACATGATCAGGTAATGACTGATCCTCATAACCAGGTGGCTGGCGCATGTAAACGGTCTCAGCTAGCTCGCCATTCAAAAAAGCATTGTGAATATCCAACTGGCGAATAGACCACCCACGCGATACGGCTAAAGATAAGAGAAGACGTACCGTAGTGGGTTTAACCACAGGACTAAATGTCTCAAAAAAGTCCTCTCCAGCTACCTGATTAAAACCCTTGGCCACCAATCGTGCTTTATGACATTCTATTGAACCATCGGCCTTCCATTTGGTTATGAAAACCCACTTGCAACCAACAACATTCATACCTGGTTGAGAAGGAACAAGACGCCATGTATGATTATGAACCAAGGCATTGAACTCTGCGTCCACTGCATCACGCCACTCAGGAAACTTGATCGCCTGAGAGTAACAGGTAGTGGTTAAGGCAACATGTTGATGCGGACCCGAGCTACGAGTGTTCATGCCTGTGAGCATATAACCATTAATGTGTATCCAACTATCAGTTTAGGCT